GGCCCATTCCCATGCTGTGCAAAGCAGGTGCAGCTCCGTCTGCCGGGCACCTCCTGCTCGGTTTCCTGAGCACTGCTCTGGCGACAGACGTTCTCCCAAGACCGTGGACCTGGGGTCTCTGGAAAGAAGAGATTCAGGCGCGCGCCTGGAGGACTCAGGACGGAAGAGGCAGAAACGCCCCATCTGCTGCGTTATCTTCAAGCCTGGTCTCAGCGGTGCGCGTGCACATACACACGTATGTGAGGTTAGGGGGTCAGTCAACCTAGTCTCAGATTTGTCACCAGCCCCCTGCCTCCATCCATTCCGGCTTTCCTGCCAGAGGTCGTTCTGTTCAGAAAAGCTTCATTGCACGTCTCAGCATCTGTGGCATTGACACATACGGCCTGATTCTAGCCCAACTGTCCGCCTGAGAAACACCATCAACGTCTGAGAAAGGCAAGCTCTGAAAAGAGAATTTCCACGTGAACAGAAGGGCTATAAAAATGGCCCCCTAACTGTATTCTCCAGAGATATGAATGTCCTCAAAGACGGAGCAAGCCGAGGAGCTGTTCCAGACTGAAGGGGAGTGAAGGGAGACACGGGGAGACAGTGTGGGATGGGCGGCTCCCGCATCCCGGGCACGAGGGAGTGCCGTGCTGGGCAGGAGGGTGACAGGATGAATTACAGGCCATAGATGAAACAGAAGTCCCGTTTTAATGTGACATTTACCGAAGTTGGTAACTATACTATTGGTATGCGGGACAACATTCCTTTTCTTAGGAAATACCAAGTTATTGAAGAGTAAAGAGTGACCATGTACAACTCATTTTCAAATGTTCAGGAAAAAGTAACCCGTACATACACATGAAATAATAGATGAATCTGAGTCAAGGGTCTCAGGGGCCCTTCTCTATTTTTGAAACTTTTCTGTAAGTTTAAAATTATTTCCAAAGAAAAAATTTAAGAACGTAGCTCATCAACTGCGTCCCACTGCGTGTAACCTCTGCTGTCAGTCTCTGGCTGATGCCCGCGAGCACCCCCGCCCATCCGGCTCCGGGAAACGTGGGGTTCCGACTTTACAACAACTGCCTGGGGTTTCTCCCAGACAAAACTGTGGGATCCTCTTACTGCACCCGAGGTCCTTACCTTTTGGAAAAGGGCTTTACAAAATATGCAAAAAGCCGAAAAGGAAATGAAATAAACACACACAATCTTTAAAAAAGAAAAGAAACATGTTTACAAAATGTAGGTTTCAGATCCAAAGCATGGACATGATTTTCTTTGGTCAGAACCACTTGAGCAGCCTAACTCAAAAAGACTTCTCAATTACACATACGAAGTTTGGAAATGCTACACAATTGAGGCAACAATAAAAAGAATACTTTAAAAGTTTCAACTTCTTCTCTCCAGAGGAGAGAATCACTGCCCCCCTCAAAAAATCGGTAAGAAATTTATAACAGCATGAGCTGAAATGGAAACAATGTCAGTAAGATCAAATTAAAATCAGTGTTATCTTAACAATACAGTTTTCTCAGCTGGAACGTTAGCTTTTCTAGGTGATACTCCAGGGACAAACTCTGGTGAGATCTAAAACAAACTAACACGACTACAGGTTTTTGTCTCTAACGTAGCTTAGAATAGTCCTTGTTTCACTAAACAACATTCACAATAGCTCTGGCTCTTATTTTACAAATAACTTTCTCTAAATGTCAGAGAAATTTTTTTTGACTACTTAACCATGTGTGTGTCCTAAGAGCAAAGTTTCAAATCTTTCAAATCTTTCAAATCCTCATTTCAAACAATGAGGATTAACAAGGATCATCCGGAAGCTAAGTGAGAAAGAGGAGTGACTTAGAGAAAATCAGAATGGAACAACTGGATGCGGACCATATTGAAATCACAACCATTCTGGGGTGTGGACAGACACCCAAGTGAGCCATCTGCCAAGGAGATTTTGCAAGAAAGAAGAGGCACAGAGGTAGAGGTAAGGGCCTGTAGGGAGGGAGGACGGCAGAGACAGGGGGCAGCTGAGTCCCTGCAAGTTTGCTGCGGGCTGAGGTGGGGTGTGCGTTGGGGCAGAGGGTGCCGGAGGCGCTGGGGACCGGCGGCTCTCCTAGGGGAGGCGTGAGAGTCACACTCAGTGTCCCTTCCCTTGTGAAATGTTCTGGTAGTCCCCGCGTGAGGTCCCTTATATTATGTGTTCTCCCGCACGTACTGGTTCATCGTAGTACTTCTCACAACAAAGTTGTGATTTGTGTATCTGTTCATGATGTGCTTCTCCACTAGACGCAGAAGAAGCTCCATTAGACCTGGGACTTGCTGACTTACGTGTCATTCTGCGCCTCTGCCTGGACCTGGGTAGAGTATAGTAAATATCTGCTGAATGGCTCAATGTGTGCATCTAGGCAAAACTGAATGACATGTCCCAGAGGCTCAAGAGATCCAAGAAGGAAGAAGGCGGCCTGATGTATGCAGCAGTGTTAATAATGGATGGGAATCAGGAATAAACAGGTTGGAAGGTGTTTATAAGGAAGAATTGACACAAACGGATGACTGCCTTGCCGGGTGTGCAGGAAGCTGAGGTGTCTAGCTTAGGTGACGGTGTCACTTCTGTCTGAGAGCAGAGAGGAGGAACAGGGCCAAGGGGGTAGCTGGATGCCTTTGGCTTTGGAGGCTCTGGGAGGCTGGTGTAAGAGCAGCCAACAAAAGACGCAGACCCGCAACTACGGAGAACAGACTGATGGCGTCCAGAGGGGAGGGAGCGGGGACACAGGCTTCCAGTGGTGGAAGGAGAAGTCAGGGGGACGGAAGGCACAGCTTCGGGCAAGAGTCAGCGACACTGTGACAGTGTGGTATGGGGACGGGTGGCGGCCACCCTTGCGGCGAGTGCACACCCTGTATAAACCTGTCCGTTCACCCTGTTGTGCACCCGCAACTCATGGAGCGTTGTGTGTCAACTAGACTCAGAAAAGAAGGCAAGAGAGAAGCAAGAGAACAGAAGGAGCCTGTTTCCCACAGCTGTCTGCAGGCTCAGATGTGCCCAAGGGGCTCTGGTAAAGGCGGGGGTCCTGGCCGGCCCAGACCCTCTGAATCTCCGGGAGTGACACCTGGGAATCTAATCCTTAATGAACTCCTCGGGGTGTTTTTATGAGCGTCGCTATAGGAGAGGTACTCAGAGTCCAAGGCAGACATACTTTTCAAGGAAGAAGTGGGGATTTTTTTCAAATTCCATAGAAAAGTTAAATTCGACAGTGAAAGCTGCCCACTTACTTGGCCGTGAGGACGCTGTTGCCATCCTTAGGGTGACTTTGTTAAACAGTGGAAGGAAATGCTAGGATGCTTTCTAGATCCTAACCCCCCTTCTTTCCCAAAGGGAATAAAAAACATGAGGGTGAATATTTGAGACTTAAAAATCTAAACCTTTGTGCTACTTTTTAGAAATTTCATGATTTTTATTTCTCAGGCACTGTTGCATGACACTCTCCCCTGGGAAATGCCAAGCTCGTTTCTTCCAGCTATTTGGACATTTTAAGGTAATCTGGAAAAAAAAAATGTTTGCAAACCTTTTTTTTTTTCTTCCTTTCCCGGGAGGCTCAGGTAGGTGAGCTGGGTCCCAGGCCCTGCCCCTCAGCCAGCCCCCCGGCGCTGGCACAGGTGGGGTCCTGGCTGGGCCCCCAGGGTCATCCAGGGAGAATGCCACTAGATGGAGTTGATGCTTGTGTCTCCTTAGTATCTTTCTTCTGGGACCAAGATACCAATTTTAAGTTTCTAAGTTTTTAGAGTTTTTTTTTTTTTTTCTTAAGTTTTCTTCAGTTGCACTCGATAAATTTCTCCCCTTTGTTCCAGGTCCTCCTTAGGAAATTCGGTTAATCTCAGGTTCCTTCTTTACGTACTGTCTCCCACAGTCTTCTTCCTTTCGCCGTCTGTTTCGAGTCTGTTCTCCGTCCCGTTCACCTGTGTTGAAACATTCATTCTACGACTCCAGTGAGGACTGGTTTCCTCCTGGAATTTGCCCTCATCTGTTTGTGTCCCCGTCACTATGCGTCTGTCTTCGACCCCCGAACAGAGATCACGGGCACTGTCGTTAGATGAGAGGTTTCGTTCTTCTGTTTCCTGATGGAAAACCGTCATGACCGACCCGAACGGGGAGAGACACAGACTCAGTTTGGTCACCTTGCCTCTCTTGCCTGGCTGCCTCCTCCTGGGACCAGTGGGCTTTCGCCTGCTGGCTCCCACTTCCACGGATGAGACCCTGGGTGTGGATGACCCTGGGGGCCCGGCCAGGGCCTCTGCTGGCACAGGTGGGCCTGGAGTCCCGCTCGCGGGGCTGAGCCCCCCGGGTGGCCTGGCAGCCCCTGCAGGGAGCTCATGGGCACAGATGCTGTGGTTCGCACGGGCCAGCAACGCCTCTTGTTGGCAGCGAGCCGATGGCTTTCAGCGGTGAGCACAGGAGGACACAGCGGAGCCGGGGCGTCCCTGCAAGCCTGGGGGCCGCTCAGCGCCCAGGAATAGCTGCCTCGTCCATCAGCTGTCGATCCAAGGCTCCCCGGCACTTTCTAACTCAGAGGCTACCCTGAGGCCCAGTTCGTCACGACGGTCCCATCTGAGGAAATCGGAAGAGCACATAAACGACAGCATCAGCCGTTGTGTGAGTCCCGTGGAGCCCGGCCGTGAGGACGGCGCGGTGAGTCCCGTGGCCGTGGGGACGGCGCGGTGAGTCCCGTGGCCGTGGGGACGGCGCGGTGAGTTCCGTGGCCGTGGGGACGG